TAGTGTCTGAAGAGGTCAAGCTGTGGATGCGCAGGCGCAACTAAAGGCGTAGGCGACAACAACTCGACCGCCATCTAAAGACAAATGAAAGGATGAGGATGAGAAGGAGATGAATTTAGAAGGATGAATATCGTGTTGGCAAGTTACTGAATTTTTCCCATATCATGTAGCTTGTTGATAATGTCATTGCAGTCGAGAGGTCTATATATATATTTTCTATTACTGTTCGTGTCGTGGGCGGTTAGCTCGCTGTTATCATTACTCTGCTGATGTTTGTTTTTCCTGTGCGAGATTAAGTTATCCCGTCTTGTAAATTTCTTTCCACATGTGTCGCAGGGAAAAGTGGTGGATTTATGCTTGTTAGAGTGGCGACTAAGCCCGCTTTTTTATGCAGAACCCTTGGAGCAGATGTAACATGCATACATGTATACTCTTTGAATAACAGACGAAAAATGAATATGCGCGCTGATGATGTCCTTTTATTATCCTTTTTATTATCCAGTTTTCACGTGACGGTTATCCATGGATACCGTTTAGTATCCTACTATCCTAGTCTACTATCCTACTATCCCGTGACGGTCATCCAGATTTACGTGACGATGTGACGACTTAAGATATTATTCTAGCCTCCTTTAACTCCTCTATGATTGCTGAAATTTCATAACTGGTTTTTCTTATACATGAAAGGTAGAGGGAGAGAGGAAATAAAACAAACAAGGACAAGTAAACATATATATTAAGCATATTAAATTATAATAAAAGTAATATTATAACGTAATTGGTACAATTCTTGTACATGTAGGTCCATCCTTCGTTGCGGAAAATCTATGAGGATTCGTAAATACACCATCCCATTTGTCTTGAATGTTCATTTTTTGAAACTGTTTAGCCATTTTACACTGGTTATCGTAGTGTGTTATTTCGGATTTTAGTTGGCGAATTTTTTCAAGATGTTTATCTAATAATGGCTTGAGAATTTTAGAAGTCGTTTCAATTTTTCTCTGGAATCTATCTCTATCCGCACAAAAAATTCCCAGTATCTACGCCGAGCTGCAGTAGATGCAAAAGTCCACGTTTTCATTAGATGCACTTTATTTTTAGATTCGTCGAAAGTAACTGTTTTCTTCTTCATTGCAGCAATAGGTTGTATACCCAAACGAAAAGATCTTCGCAGTTCCGCCTGCTGCACCTGACTGTTTTATTTGGATTCATATGATATGAACAACGGAGTACATCTACTTGGAAACGTGGTGGGGGGTTATCCCAGTAATTTTCGCATTTTTCAAGGTTTACCACATTGGGTAATTGCTGTCAGCTGGAGAGAACCAATTGCGGTAGTATTTTCTCTAAATAATCCAGCTGTTCACGTCCTCTCACATAAATTATATCGGTACACAGCAAATGATCTTCAAGTATAGCGTTCAGCGCACTATATTGTACGTCTCCAGATGAATAGCGGATGCCGTGGATATTTCGTTCCGTATATTTTACTTGCTTCTGATTCTGTCGAGATAAGGTAAACCTGTAGGCGGTTTAATCAAATAATGGCTCACTTGGCGCGCATCCTGAATCGTGATTTCCTTAGGATAAAATTCATAACCTCCACCGGTACTCAGTAACATAAAGCCCTGGATATCTAGCGCCACAACCTTCATCTCGGACGATTATCAAACGACTAACTAACAATTACTTAGATTTATTTTTTAAGCTAGATTTTTTACGATTTCGCTAAGTGGGAGGTGTTCCATGATGCAATCGTGTACGATTAAACAATAGGCATTGGTATTATCGGGAAAGTCTTGTGCTGCTTCAATGTCCAATCTTACGTTTACGGTAAACGATTTCATGCTTTCCTCTCACCTCGAGCAATCGATGACGAAAAGAGCGTGATTCCTAAAGGTGAGGTAATCTAGTAATGATTTCTTCTGCAGCGTATTCGAGTAACTTGGATAAAACTCGGTGTAGTTGTAGTGAGCTTCAGCGTAGTCGTTCTTTGCAAAATTTAATCGCATCCTCTCGTTAGGGAAGCTCTCGCCGTTTAGCGTTAATCTAATGTTGATAATATCGATGTTATCAAAGTGTGTAGGATCTTCTGTGAATTTGTTTTGTTTGGCTGTCTGGAAACCGATGATGACGTATCTAGGGCTTTCCACGGCGGAAGTAGTCTTAACGGCCCAAATTTCTTTTGTAGCGCCAGGCGTGAGCGCAGGTAGCATATGCAAATTTCATTGTCTATACGGTATCAATATGGGCGTATCAGCTTTGATGGCTTTTAGTAAGCTAAGTTCTATTTCGTCGTTAGGGTATAGTCGTTTAATTTTAACCTCAATATTTTGAATATCCATAGTCACTGTGGGTTTATCGGTAGCCACCTTCTCCTTAACCAAGAAACAATTGGAATCGTTACTGGCTCTTATCAATTTAATAAATCGCTACACTTTACCATGCGGTAGTCGTTAAAAAAATTGAAAATATGCTTCAACGGGACGGGGAAATTAAAAGTTCCATCGGCGTTTAGAATTGGTGCATCAGAATAATTCCATCCGGCTATAGATAAGTGCTTAGAATCCTCATCGGAATAACACAAGTATCCGCGAACGGTGTTCACTAGACCAACTTCACGTATACTTTCCAGTTCTTTGGCGTTTATTTCATATGTGGCTGATGAAAACATAAAGGCCGCCGCGTTGTTTACGAACGATACATCTCCATTACCAACCTTTGTAATCTTTTCGCTAAGTATCTGACCGTCGTAAGTAGCATCGAAAACATCGGCTTGATTGATGATGATTTCAATCACGTCGTTGTATCTGAAGGACTTTACGTATGGATAATATGTTCGCTATTCCACCCTTTGTATGGATTCGTCCATTGTGGGACGGCGAAAATGTTCGAACATTTGATGCGATGACATTATAACCCAGAGATTTTAGGAACAAGGAGTTCGTTAGAGACAGAGGCTTAGTGAATGCAACCTTATCGTGAGATGCTCCTCGCGATACTGACGTGTATCTCGATAGCGATACTGACGTGTATCTCGATAGCGGCTCCTTTATATGAACATTTGACTGAGAGTTGTCGAAAACTAGCATTATTCAAATTTCTTAATCTCCAATCGAATGATGATTTCTTCACCTCTGAAATTAACGAGTTCGAAATTCTGGTCCGACACGTCCACTGTAAGTGTGCTTATTTCAGTTCTATTTATCGGTAGATAGATGAGGTGATTTGGTTCTTCGTCGATGGCAAATCCTGGGTTGACCCTTCTAGGAAACTCGTATATAGTATGTGACGGTCTATCGTTGTAGAAGGCTCCCGAAGTAATGTTACAATCCAGGTGGATTGGACAGACATGGTTCCTTGTTACCAAATTCTTTTAGATGTGTCGTATGTGGACCCCTGCGGTTACGGGAAGACCAACGTAATACAATCGCTTCTATTTAATCCGAATGGCGCCAAATTTGAAAACGTCTACGTCTACTCAAAGTCCCTATACCAGCCTAAATATCAGCTGTTGCGAGACGTCTTGAGTAAAGTGAAAGAAATTGGGTACTTTCCATATGGGGCTAGTGACGAAATAATTAGTCCAACAGACGCTCGGTACAATTCCATATTCATATTCGACGATGTGGCGTGCGATAAACAGGAAAAGATACGTGAATACTACTCCATGTGTAGACACAAGAATATCGACGCGGCCTACCTATGTCAGACATATTCCAAGATACCGAAACAACTTATTCGAGATAATTGCAACTTAATAGTTCTTTTCAAGCAAGATGAAGTAAATCTGAAACATGTCTACGAGGAACACGTGTCCCCCGACATGACTTTCAATCAATTTAAGAACTGCTGCTCAGAATGTTGGGTCGATAAATATGGTACTATGGTCATTGTAAAGGATTTCAACCTACAAGACGGACGATATCGTAAAGGATTCGATAAATATATAACAGCCGACAAGGGCTGAAGACGTCATCGCTAAGACGGTGCGAAAGAAAAAAATCTACGAGCTAGCAAAATCAATCAGGCGAAAGTACTTGGCTTTAAAGCAGAGGAAGATGAGGCGCTGCAAAACTGTTTAAGCTCATTGCGACGCCGTTAAAAGAAATAACCAGCACATCACACAAGTGCCAAGTTCCCCATCATTAAAAACGAGGAGAAAAAAGAAAAGATTGAAGAAGAAGAAAAACCATTTACATTCAACCAAACAGCCTTTTTACCGTTTACCGTCGTCTAGAATTGATGATAATGATGATGATGATGATGATGATGATGATGATAGAACATTTGAAGAAGAGCATGAAACTCGAATGGACGATATAACTCAGGAAGCTCTAGAAGAATATTTAGATCAATATCCTGTCATATCTCAGGAGTACGTTACAGAGCATTGGGCTGATAGTGATGTAATTTATAAGAATTATGGACCAGTATACGATCCCTCAACGTCATCGTGGCTACTCGGTCGAAAACGGATCGATTTTGACATTCGTACCGGTGATATAGTAATCAATGGCCAGCAATTCAAAGGTACACCGGGGTTGTACCAATTGATTTTCTATCATGACCCGTCCTTCAATGAAGAGGATAAGAAATGTTATAAAAATATTCTTCAAATGACTGGTGCTCACAAAGACGCAGTAGGACGCTTAAAAGGCTCCAGTTCGTTGAAGTATAGAGAAATTATTAGACCGCTATTTATTAAGACAACACAACGTAAAACTACTGGTAGTGGTTTATTATCTCGCACCAACAAGTTAACTTACAATACAAAGCCGATGGAATATATTTACTGGGATGATCCCAACGAACTTGTCGATCGTTTAAGGCTGCTGGTGGCATCTAAAAACGCTGGAAATACGTCACACGACGACGAAATTTCAGCAATCATCGAGGAGTTAAAGGAGGCTAGAATAATATCTTAAGTCGTCACATCGTCACGTAAAACTGGATGACCGTCACGGGATAGTAGGATAGTAGACTAGGATAGTAGGATACTAAACGGTATCCATGGATAACAGCGGATAACCGTGGATAACCGTGACGGGTATCCATGGATAACCGTCACGTGAAAACTGGATAACAAAAAGGATAATAAAAGGACATCATCATCTTCATCTTCATCTTCATCATCTAGTGGTTGGTCCTTTAAAAGTCCCATAGCACTGCGGCCTAATTAGGCCTATTGTGCGTCCCACTACTAGTCCTATTCAGCAAGTAGATTTGTCCTTTTTACAAAGTCCAAAAGCTTCCTTGCTGACACTTCTCTCAGTTCCTTGGGTTCCAAATAGGGTCTCCCAAGGAGCGCCATTCTGCTACGTGCAAATCCCGGGCACTCGCCCAGGATATGCAGAGAAGTTTCATCCGCCGATTCACATCCTCGGCAGACCGGACTGTCTACAAGCTTTAGCTTATGTAGATGTTTCCTAAAGTGACAGTGTCCCGTTATGAGTCCTGTCACTCTCCTGAGCCGGATTCTATTCAAGCTCAGTAGCTCATTCGCTCTTCCCTTCGAAGGATACTCCATAAGCTCCTTAGAATGGCTATGTCCTGGCCTTGAAGTCCAGTATTTCCTATGTTCTGTCTCTGTCCATTTGCCCAGAGCCCGCCTGACCACACTGGGAGATGTGCCACAGAAGGGCTCCGGGCCAATGAACACTGTCTCGGATCCCTTCCTAGCAAGTTCATCCGCTTTCTCATTTCCACAAATGCCTTTGTGCCCTGGCACCCAACACAGTCTGACTGTATTGTTGGTGGCCAGTTCAGTCAGCATTTGTAAACAGTCCCACACCAGTTTTGAACTTACCTTGTGTGCGGCTAAAGCTTTAATTGCAGCTTGACTATCAGAGAATATATATATGAGTTTACGTCTATAACCTCTACGTACATTCTCTGCCAGACACGCCATTATCGCGAAGATTTCTGCTTGGAATACAGTAGGGAACTCCCCCAGACTGTAGCTTGCACTCCATCTGGGTCTGAGTCCATATATTCCTGCACCCGTCCCTCTGGTCATTTTGGAGCCATCTGTAAACCATACTAGGCTCCACCTTTCCAGGGTATTAAACCTTTCCTCCCACTCGCTTTGATCCTCTATTCGAGTCTCAAATGGCTTGTGGAAGTGAAACTTTGGAACCATCTTGTCGGATACCATCCCAAGAATTGGTTCCGACATAGATGTATCTTTGATCCTGGAGTGGGAACCACCCCTCCAGTCATTATTATTCCTGAGTCGATATGCTGCTAGCCGCGCTTCTCTCTCCACCACTATATGCAGCGGTGGCAGATTTAGCATGACTTCTAGTGCAGCTGTCGGGGTCGATGCCATCGCCCCCGTTATACCTAAACAGGCCAATCTCTGAATTCTATTCAGTTTTTCCTTCGCTGTGGTCTGTTGTGTTTTCTGCCACCATACCACAGCGCCGTAAAGAATCCTGGGTCTTACTATCGACGTATACAACCAGTGTGACATCTTTGGTTTCAGTCCCCAGGTTTTCCCAATAAGGCGGCGGCATACACACAGTGTCTGCTTCGCCTTACTCACCACTTTTTCCAAGTGCGCATTCCAGGTAAGCTTATTATCCAGTATCACTCCTAGATATTTTACTTCCCTGGAAAATGTAATGCCCCTCTCCCCTATTATAGGTTCAGAGAGTCCAGTTAAATTTCTTCTCCTAGTGAAGGGTACTACGACCGTTTTGTCAGGGTTTACTGACAGTGCCTGCCCCTTACACCAGTCATCTATCCATTTCAAAGCCTCTTTCATGAGTTCTGAAACGATAATATTATGTTTCCCGACTATGAGAACGACCAAGTCATCCGCATAGCCTTGTGTATAAAACCCCTTTCGATTAAGGCCCTCCAGTGCGCCGTCCACCACTAATCCCCATAACAAGGGAGACAGTACGCCTCCCTGGGGGCAGCCCCGGCCTACCTTACACCTGGATGTCTCTCCCGAAAGGGTAGCTGTTACTGTCCGGTTTCTCAACATGGTATCTATCCAACGACACAAAGTGTCTTCAAGGCCCCTGTTGCGAACTGCCGAATTAATAGATTCGAAAGGTGTATTGTCAAATGCCCCTTCAATATCTAAAAAAGCTGCCAAAGCTAGATCTTTGTCGTCCATTGCCCTCTCTATCCTAGAGACTAGGCTATGAAGGGCTGTGTCGACTGATCTGCCTGCCTGATAGGCGTATTGGTACCTGTGCAGAGGATTTGCCCTCAATACCCCGTCCCTTATATGCCTGTCAACTATTCTCTCCAACGTTTTCAGGAGGAAAGATGTTAAACTTATCGGGCGATATGCCTTTGCCTGGGCATACGATGGACGCCCTGGTTTAGGAATAAACGCCACGTTCGTCGATCTCCATGCCAGCGGTATATAACCAAGTGCAATGCTGGCTCTGAAGACGTGAATTAAGACCGGAGCTAGACAGTCCACCCCCTGCTGTAGCAGTACAGGTAGGATTCCATCGGCTCCTGGTGATTTAAATGGGTCAAAAGAACTTATTGCCCATCTTATTCGTGACTGACTCACCACCGTCTTGGCAACCTCCCAGTTCTGTCGAGACCCGGTCGTTACCCTCTGCTGGTGATTCCAGTCATATTCATCTCCATGATTTAATAACCTGGAGCCTGGAAAGTGAGTATTTAGAAGTAATTCCAATGTCTCCCTTCCAGTTTTGGTATATTCCCCACTCGGTGCTTTGAGAGACCCGAGTTTCGTATGTCCGTTCTTAGAGAGAAGTCTCTGGAGTTTAGCACACTGTGGGACACTATCAATATCCTCACAGAACTTCCTCCATGAGTCTCTCTTCGCTTTTCTAATTTCTTTATTATACTCAGTGAGGGTTGCTCTATAAGTCTCCCACTCTCCTGTCCGCTTTGCTCTATTAAATAGTTTTCTTGTCTGTCCCCTCAACTGCGTGAGTTCCTTGCTCCACCAGGGTACGGTGTGCTTATCGGACCTCACTTTGATAGGACAGCTGTATTCATATGATCTTGTGACGGCGTTTTGGAGTTCCTCCACGGCCCTCTCAAGATCATATGTGTTCCTTAGTTTTGTACAGATTTCCCTAGTCCTGGCCTGTAACTCCGTTCTATAGGAGTCCCAGTCAGTTCTTTTTGGGTCTCTGTAGGTTCTTACTTGCGGATTATAATCCGTTATAATTTCAAAGTGGATATGTCTATGATCCGACATTGACGGCTCATTCGACACATGCCACCTCGCAATATTATTACATATCGGTCCCGATCCCACTGTTATATCGATGACTTCACTTCTATTTTTTATAACAAAGGTGGGCTCGTTCCCGACATTCAAAATCTCTAGATTATAACTAAAAAGAAAATCTAGTAAAGACTCACCTCGATCGTTGACATCGCTGCTTCCCCACACCGTATGGTGTGAGTTAGCATCACATCCCACGATGAGTTGTTTCTTCTCCTTCTCGCACCAGGCCACCAGGTCCCTCAGTTCCCTGGTTGGAGGAGATTCTTTCTTATCGTAAGGGAGGTACGCTGAGCAAACTACCAGTTGTCTCTGCGTTCCCTCCGATACATAAGTCACTTCGGCCGCCACCAGGTCATCCGTGCAGAACCCTGGAAGAGGAAAAATATTAATACTACTCTTGTAATAAATACAAGCTCTAGGTCTAGTTTGGTGGCCACAATACAGTAAGCCACCATTACTTACCTGCAATCCTCTGATCCGGGATCCATGTACCCAAGGCTCCTGGATCAAAGCTAAATCCGCATTTGCGCGCGCCACACTGGCACAGAGAGCAGCAGATGCCGCTCTACTGTGCTGAATGTTCGCTTGTATTACCTGGAATTTGACCAGATAATACAGATTTTGGTCCCTCCTGATCTTCATCAGAAGGTCCCAAATCTACCCTGCCCTTCTCCAGGTTCCTAAAAAGGACCCTGGTGAAGTTCAGAAATGGTCTGAAGCCCTCCTTCTGAAGTACCTTCACAAGGACATCATCAACGCGCATAGTTATTTTTCGTCTGCTATTCAAAGAGTAAACATGTATAACATCTGCTCCAAGGGTTTTGCATATAAAAGCGGGCTTAGTCGCCACTCTAACAAGCATAAATCCACCACTTTTCCCTGCGACACATGTGGAAAGAAATTTACAAGACGATATAACTTAATTTCGCGCAGGAAAAACAAACATCAGCAGAGTACTGATAACAGCGAGCTAACCGCCCACGACACGAACAGTAATAGAAAATATACAGGGTGTCCCCAGTTCGGGTTGCCTATACCTGAAATGGATACAAAATTTCAATTGTCAAAAAAAAAACATTCTTCATAAAAATTTTTGCTTGTCCAGAAGCCGTTGACAAAATAGTCATTTGTTTAATTTAATGTACAGGGTGTTCAAAAATTGGGAAAAGGTAAAAACAGTAAACAGTAAAGTCTTGAAAAAGTAATGAGGAAAAGTTGCTTGGAATTAAATTTTATGTTTAAATATGAAAGCATGGCCTTCTAGTTAATACTCGACATTCTGGGATATTCTAGGACTCTACTTATGTTTTAATAAGCCATTCTATTTAAAAAATATTGCTTTATTGAAAAACAGATACACATGTGTGCATATTAATAATTTATTTTTTATACAAGGGGATAAAAAACCTCAAAAACATTAATCCAACATTTATTATGAGAACACTGTAGAATCAGTATGTACGCGCCATTACAAAACTATTCTACATGAAGTCCGCCAAGTTCAACACACCTCTCCAATCTTTTTCTAAATGCAGCGTAGGTCGAATGTATCATTTCTTCATTTACTTGGGCAACAGCTTCAATTATCCTGCTTTTCAAGAAATCAACATTGTGTTGCACTGGTTCTCTGTACCCTCTTTCTTTCAAGAAGCCCCAAAGCAGAAATAATCAAGCGGCGACAAGTCAGGGGACCTTGCTGGCCAACAAATAGGACCATATCTTCCTATCCACTTCGCTCGAAATTTTCTGTTAAGCCAATTGCGGACTAGAATTGTTGAGTGAGCGGGACATCCGTCTTGTTGGAAATACGCTTTTTGTCTATATTCCAAATGTTCTTCTTCTAATTCTAAACAGAAAAACGTGTCTAGCATCTCCAGATTAAAAAAAGTATAGCCCAATTATTCGGTTGAAAGTAATCGCGCTCCAAACATTTACTTTTTTGAACCTTTAACTTCTTGAAGTAACTTTAAAGGAAGGATTTTCTTGCGACCAAAAACGACAATTTTGCTACGATACCACTACCACTACTGTTAGAAAAAGTGGTTTCATCGGAAAAAATTATATTTTTGTGAAAATGTCCACCATAATCTCTTCTATTCTCCTATCTCTAAACAGAACTCCAAACGATGTGCATCATCAACAACTTCTAGAGTGTGAATTACTATTGGTTTGAAAGCCTTAAACTTATTTTCTACCAAAATTCTCTGAATATGTGTCTTGCTAACATCGATTTGTTTAGATAATTTTCATGAAACAATTCAATTGCTTGGCTATAAGAAATGTTACCGATACCGTAACATTTAACAAGATAAATGCGATACTGTAAAGTAAGCACTATTTGAATAAAATTAAATATCAACACCTAATATCACAACTAATGTCAAACAATTATTGATAACAATTGCCTTCTACAAATTGTTGGTATTTTGATTATTTCCTTTGGGGCTTCTTGAAAGAAAGAGTGTAGAGAGAATCAGTGCAACATAATGTTGATTTCTTGAAAAGCAGGATAATTGAAGCTATTTAGAAAAAGATTGGAGGTGTGTTAAACTTGGCGGACTCCATGTAGAATAGTTTTGTAATGGCGCGTACATACTGATTTTGCTGTGTTCCCAATATAAATGTTGGATTAATGTTTTGAAGGTTTTTGCCCCCTGTATAAAAAATAAATTATTAATATGCAGACATTTGTATCTGTTTTTCAATAAAGCAATATTTTTTAAATAGAATGAATGGCTTCTCCGAAAGTATTTAAAAATAAGTAGAGTCTTAGAATATCCCTGAATGTCGAATATTAACTAGAAGGCCATGCTTTCATATTTAAAAATAAAATTTAATTCCAAGCTACTTTTCCCCATTACTTATTCACGTAGTTCCAAAGTTTTTAACACTCTGTACATTAAATTGAACAAATGACTATCTTGCCAAGGGCTTCTGGACAAGCAAAAATTTTTATGAAGAAAGATTTTTTTTGACAACTGAAATTTTGTATCCATTTCAGGTATAGGCAACCCGAACTGGGGACACCCTGTATATACAGACCTCTCGACTGCAATGACGAGGACAGTACGTGCAATAGAAAACATATATTATTAGAAATTGGGGCGTTATTAGTTTTGTTTTTTTTTTCTTTAAACCACACCTTCCACCAATCATGCAAAGTTTACACAAATGAATCAACTTTGATTTTCACAACACAATTTGATAACAATAATAATGTATTTATTAATTTAACGGACTTAACAAAATTAGAAAAAAACAATTAATTAGTATTAATTAGCTAGCGGTCTTAAAATCACGACTGTATTCACGAGGCCAGCGCGGAGGACTGTCTCGTCCACATCGGCGCTAGGACAGGCCAGTCGCTGCACTCTATTCCGCTGACACGGCTCTCTTTCAATCATCCATCTCTGCGATTGCTAACACGGCCATACTGACAGATGTTACGTTCTCGGAACATCCATTTTCTGAGGAACCTCGTTCAAGAGAGAAAAATAAAAATAAATATTGAAAATGATACTAAAAATACTACTGCAAAAAGCAGTACTTGTTGGACAACCTGATGACTCAAGCACGCAGGTCTAGTGTCTCAACAACAGTAAATATATTAATTCTCATGACATAAGACAGATCTAAAGTCCGGTCTTATCAACAACACATTACGAGACAGATCTAAAGTCCGGTCTCTCAACATCAACATCTGAGGCAGATCTAAAGTCCGGCCTCTCATCAACAACATCTGAGACAGATCTAAAGTCCGGCCTCTCAACAACAACATCTGAGACAGATCTAAAGTCCGGTCTCAACAAGAACATCAACAACATCTGAGACAGATCTAAAGTCCGGCCTCAACAACAACAACAACAACATCTGAGACAGATCTAAAGTCCGGTCTCAACAACAAAATCAAGGGTCAAATATGCACAACAAAAAAAAGATAAATAATATTAATTAAAAATGTTAAACATGTTACCTTCAGATTTATCCTCCAAAAATTCTAATAAATCATCCATATCAGTACATAATGACCAATCTGTAGGCCAGAGCCTTAATTGCTCTTTGGCTGCTTTAACAATATTTTTCTTACCAACACCAACTCTTCTCAATTCATATCTGCCCTCGCCAGTAATACTGACAATCTCATAGGGACCTAAAAACTCAAAGTCTGTTTTACTAGCGTGTAGTTTACTTGCGCGATGAAGCAATACGAAATTTCCCACTGCATACTGAATATTGTTACGTCGTTTTTTATTCAGTGCTTCTTTCCTTTCATAGCTGGGGCGAAGTCGCTCACTAATTCGTTTTCTGTCTAAATCGAGATTATGAACAAGTTACATTTCTTGATTCAAGTCATTGAGAGCTGCTTGTATTAGTGGAGTTGTAGTTTTCACACCAATCAATGCTTGTAATGGTGTAATATCTGTAATTTTTTGTACAGTAGTGTTTAAAACTAACTGAATTTTCCACAAACCGTTCAGCCATTCTTTTTTAATTTTTGTTTCAACGCGAATCATATTCATAATAGTACGCATATACCTCTCAACTTGTCCATTAGCTCTATGCACATCAGGAGTAATAAAATGATACTGTATATGCCATTCATCTAAAAATCTACAGAGAGACAAGTTTCGAAAATTTGAGCCACTGTCCATGATAATTAATTTTGGACTACCAAAACTAGAAATAAACATTTGCAATGCACAGTGAGTTTCATCAGCTTTGACTGATTTTAATGGCACCAAATTGCAATATTTAGTGAACGCATCAATTATAACAAGAATGTACTTGTATTTATCATTTGACATAGGCAATGGTCCAAGACAATCGATATGAACAGTATGGAGCGGACATGCAGGTTTTTCAGGTAGCAAAATAGTACATTGCAAAGGACCAGTACGGGTCATTTTAATTGCACAAACAAGACAATGTTTAACGTAATTTTTTACAAGTCGACTAATAACTCGAGTACCGTCACAATCAGTAACAGCAGCAAGACGCGTATCTGTAAATAAATTACTACCAATGAACACATCGTAGTCAAGGTTAAGGGCAGGTATAATCATAAAGATTAACTTAGTATGTTGACCAGTGATTTCGACATTAGCTTCAAATTTATATTTTGACAACATTTTTCCAGGACTAATACCTTTGAGAGTAAGTTCATGTTCAATTAATTTTGTTGAAAACTTTTCCAAAAATTTATCAGACATTAGTGATACCTCGGCCCCCGTATCAATTAAGCCCATATAATTTTGGCCATCAATTTTAATTTTAGTGGGAACAGCTGTTTTCTCCACAAATTAAATTGACTTTACGTCTTTGCTCAATTGCATTTTTAGTAAAACATTTTTCTTCCGTGTGGCCCGGTTTTAAACAAAACAAACATTTATCAGCTGGAAATTTGTCCGAATGAGACTGTAAGTGTTTATTATTACTAGGTTTTTTAAACTGATATGATGAAGTATCCCTTATAACCGCGCCGCGGCAATATCGCTGTAGTGCCCAAGACGTCCACATTAAAAACAAGATAAATCAGATTTTGATTTTTCTGTTCGCTCTAATCGAGGTCGTTTGAATTTATGCGTATAATCATGTTTATAATTATTTGAATGTGTTGATTTTGGTTCTGTACTTAAATAAGCAATTAGATCTGAAATAGTCCGAAAATCTCGCATTGTTACAAACTCTTGTATTTTACTGTCATCAATGCCATAAATAATTAATTCAATCAAATCTGAAGTACTCCAATTTGCACGTAAATTT